ACCCTGCTGGGCGGCGCTGGCCCCCCGCCGCGGCGCATTCGCGTGGACTTGGACTGGGAAAGGGGCCGCGTGGCCTTCTACGACGGCCGCTCCCTGGACCTGCTTTTCGCCTTCCAGGCGCCTGGGCCTCTAGGGGAGCGCATCTTCCCGCTGTTCTGCACCCGCGACCCCCGCGCCCCGCTCCGCATTGTGCCAGGGGAAAGTTGAGTCTCGCCCCCAACCCCCATTCAATTTTGGCCCGGCCACCCGCCTCAGTGAGGCTGCTTCCTCTTGGGTGGGAAATCCCACTTATTCCAGGAGTACTCATAAGCACCCCCCATCAACCCACATTCTCTATTCCTCCAAAATAAGACCTTAATGTGCCTCTAGGTTTCCACATTCATGTCCAAAGCCAAATCCATTCCGGCTCCCTCCCTGTCGGATGTATTTTCTCCCTCACTTTCACCCCAGCACTTCCCAACTGATTTCCCCCCTTCTATACTATTCCAGGCCTGAATCTGGCCATCAGTATTGGTAAACTACCCGTGTTTACTACATAGAGGCCTTGCTAGGCAAATATCTCCCATCTTTGCCTTTCCTATCTCCAGAGGGTTCAGGATCTTTTCCACAGTTCTAAGACTGGGGCTTTCCTGCCCTGTCCACGCGGTTTCTCCTTAGGAGAAACAAAAGATTCCTTCTAAAGCAAGAGGCCTGACTCTGGCCTGGGCACCATGGCCCTCTAGGAAGCTTGATAACCCCTTTTCGGGGGTGGTGGGCAGGGACAACTAGTTCTAATCCACCCTCCTGGATTGCATTCTATTCTCAAACTTTTTTCACACGAACCTTCTTTAAATTTCTCCCTGTGGCCTGGCACAGTGGCTCACGCCTATAATCCCAGCACTTTGGGAGGCTGAGGTGAGAGGACTGCCTAAGACCACAGGTTCAAGACCAGCCTGGGCAACTTAGAGAGACTTCATCTCTACAATAACTCAAGAAAAATTAGCTGGATCTGACGGTGCACGCCTATGGTTCCAGCTACTTGAAGGCTGAGGCGGAAGGATTGCCTGAGCCCAGCAGGTCGAGGCTGCAGTAGCCATTGAGTGTGCTACTATACTCCAGCCTGGGTGACAGAGTGGGACTCCAACTAAAACAACCCCCCACCAACCCATCAAACTTCCCCCTGAACATACTCACAGAAAGGAACCACTGGTGCTACCTCTCCTCTCCTCAACCTGGGAATAGCTCAGACATTCCAAAACTCATCCTTGTATATAGTGTCACATCTTTCCTCGTATGTATAAATGGGCCCATATTTAACACGTTTTGTGATGTTGGGTTATTTATTTTGTGCATCTGTGGCAATAAATGAGATCTCAGTGGTGGTATGGATTAAACTGATCTCTGCAACTGCATGGCAAGAGGACTGGAAAATTATAACCAGATCCCAGTAAGGGGTGAGAGAGCTGGACATTCAGGTTGGCAGAGACATCAAAGCCTAGGAAGGAAGGGGTACAAGAGTAGCTAGGGGACATACCCCCATCTCATTGCTCCTCCATTTTCCTTCCTCTCCCAGGAACCCAGACCCCTGGGACTATGCTGGATCTGTCTGTGAAGCTGAAAGACCAAAAGTTGAGGAAATAGTTGGCTCTAAGTGACCAAGTCAGCATTGTCAGAAATCCCAGATCACATAAGGGTATGGAGAAAGTATACGACTATTTCTTGTTCCATTTTCTGTTAGAGGTGAGAACAACAAAGACCTCTCTCCTAACTTCTCTTGAGAGCATAAGGAAGGTAGAAAGGAGGAGAAGGGCTGAAAGGCCTGGGGTCTCCTATGAGATCCCATAACCCACAGGCAAGGACTTAAGAATTAGGATTAAATACCTTAGTGGAAGAGCTCTAAACCAGGATTAACAAGCATAGCTGAGGTGAGATTGCCTGGAATCTGTCTGGGACTCTGGCAGTGAAAGCTGCGACTGCTGAAAATCCAATTTAAGTGTTTGCTACTCAAGTTGAGAGTGCAGGGGGCCAAGATAACTAGATCCCAGGATAGGCAGTTTGGCAGTGAGAACAAAAGGAAGAGACTGGGACCAAGACGCCTGGGTCTCTGGAGAGAGGAGAATTTGAGGGAGGAGAAAATGAGAACTGGGGGAACCCAGAAGCCTGGGTTCTGAAATAGCAGCAAGTCAGAATTCCAGATCTCTGTCCACCTCCTCTTCCTCTTCCTTCTATCACGCAGAGGAGAGGAAAGGTAGGGGCTGGAGAAGTAGCCACATGGACACATTCAGGGCCAGACAGACACAGGAATGGTGAGGGAGAGAGGAATTTAGTGCTGCATTGGCCCTGGAGGGGGTTGGGAGGGATCAGGAGGCTGGGGAGGGGTGGTGGGGGTCGGTCCCAGGGTTGCATGACGCCGTCCTTTGCGGTGGCCTCGTACACAATGTGTATGACCACAGCCCTCCTCTTCCTCCTCATCACTCTCCGTGGAGCTCTCGCCAAAGGCCCGAGGTTTCTCATAAATACAGCAGCCTAGATTTGGAGGGAGGAGCCCAGTTAAAAAGGAGGAAGAGTAAAACGTATAGTCAGTTCCATTCCCACTCAATCTCAGTGAACATTCCTATTTCCACCATTGTCTCCTCCTACCTTCTAAGATTCAGCTTCCCCAGGCCCACGCCCTGGACTCAGGCACCCAAACCCCTTGTCATTTTAAAGATCCAAGAATCTGAAACCCCACTTCTCCTATCTGTGAAGCCTCTTACTAGGTCTTGGAACATCCCCATTCTAGCCCCTCCCTACCTCATTCCCTCTAACTTTAAGCTTCTTTCCGTAGTGAAAAAGAACCACCAAGAAAGTGACAGAATTATGAACATCTGGGGGCTTTTGGAAGGCTAGTAGATGTGACTAGATACAAGATATGCAGAAGGGAGCCAGAACTCCAGGGCTATTGTGGGCTAATAATTACTCACACTTTGATGAGCGGCGCCCCATGTGTTCATTGTCCACAGTGTCACTAGTCCATTCAACCTTTTTCTCTGGTTTCCGTTTCCGAAGCTTGATGGTTAGGCTCCGGTTCTCCTAGAAGGTTGACAGGGATGGGCATACCTACCTAGTCTCCTCCTACTGACTTTTCTCACTCCCTCACAGAGGACCTCCTCCTTTCTATTACCCAGCTCAATCAGTACCATAGGCATAGCACCAGAGGAAGTGAGTGCTGAGAGAAGATGAATAAAACAGGCCTTTGACCTTAGGGAGACCCTTGAATACTAATAGGTATTATTCCCTGTGCTTGATAACCACCTGTAGAGAAGACCCAATTCCTAACCTAGGGAAGCTCCTAGAAAATCTTCAAAGGAAAATATAATTCCCGCTGTTTTTCCATCTTCCTCCCCAAATCATCCTTGGTAGTATTAATACATGAAAATTATCTTTGGGAGGTGGGAATGGCAGTGAGGGAAACTGCTAGGGGAGGGAGAGGCATACCTCATCAACAAGGGTACCTCCATAATCAACGTTTGTATACCTAACCCTGAATCGTACCCCATATCTTTATAATTTTAAAAAATTATCTAAGAAAACTTATTTTCTCAGTACCCAGCACCTAATCTTTGTTCTCCCCTTCTTTTTCCAGATCCTCTATTCTTTTTCTGATTTTTTTTTTAAAAGACCTTTATTCTCTCCTCTCTCATTCTCCAGTTCAGCCCTCCCTCCTTCTTATTCACCTATTCTCTGACATTGTGGCATCTCTGGGAACAACTACTACTAAATTACAAATTACTAAACTCCCTTATCCAGAGGTTATTAAGCTCAATGCAACCTTCTCCCTTTGAAAGCAAACTTAACCTGTTTTTGCAAAAATGCTACTTGTTTCTCAACTTACATCTCCCCTCTGATTTTTCAAAATACTGTCTTCATCTCCTTTTCTTGTTTCCTCATTCCCTCTATTTCCTTTTACATCCATCCATTCAACAAGCATTTATTGTAAGTATTGATAATATTTATGGATAAGCTGGCCTCTAACCTTACTTTCTTACATCGCCTCTCATTTCCTCTCAACACCTTCAATGCTCCCTAATCGCCAATTTTCTATTCATTCATTACTTATACACACCACCACCCCATGCAGCATCACCTATATCCTAACTGTCCCTTGACCAACCTCCTGCACCATCTCTGCCACTCCAAACAGTTCCCAATACCCCGCGATTCTCCCAGTCCCAGATATTCAACCCCACACCTCCCATATCCCCAGGCCCAGCCCCTCCAGCAACTCCCCTAAGCCTGTCCCCTCCCTCCCGGTTTCTCCCAGACCCCTAAACAGGACCGCCCCCCCACCCCCCGCCTTTCTCACGGGCTCGGTTGTCACGGTAACCGTTGTCTCAGTGACGGTCTCACTCAGTCCGGCCCCAGCTTCGGCCATGGCTAAGGCTGAGGAGAGGGAGGAGGGGAGGAAGGAGAATGAGACACCCTTCCCTTTTTCTGTGTCTCTGCGGTCTAAGAGAAACGGTATCGAATGCAGAGTAGTAGCCAGGATCCTCCGCCTTCTTTTTCCCCCTCCTCCTGGGCCTCCGCTTCCCCACCCCTGGGGATAACCGGTCCAACCCCACTTCCGGCTCTCTGCTTCCGGGTGTGACGCATTCTGCAGTCCCCCTTTTCCCTTCCCCAGCGCCAAATGCATCAAGGCGCAGGCGTCGCCGGAGTAGTTCCGCCGTAAGGTGACAGCGCGCAGGCGCTGCGAGAAAGAGAAATTTAGCGGAAGGGGCGTCACTGCGGGTGTGGGCGGTGGAGGGAGGGTCAAGGGCGGGGGGCGCTCGCACAGTCGAATGAAGAAGGCGCGCGCGGGTCGTGGGGGGC